GGTACACACCCACTCAAGGAATAGGGGACAGGAAGATGCTCCAGCAGGTAAAGACACTTGCTGCCAAGCCTAATGACCGAGTTTGGCCCTTTAGACCCACGTAGCAGGAGAAACTCAGTTCCCTCCTTGGCACTCAGGAAATGGATGCAAAAGGACCAAAAGTTCAAGGTCGTCCTCAGTCACTTAGTGAATCCAAGGCCAGCCTGGGCTCCATGAGACTGTATCTCAAAAAAAGGAAGGCCTGAGTGTTGTGGTGCACACCTTTGATCCCAGCATTCAGGAAGCAGAAGCAGGTGGACCTCTGTGAGTTCAAAGCCAGTCTGGTCTACACAGAGAATTCCAGGCCAGTCAGGGCTATAGAATGAAATTCTGTCTCAAAACAAAAGAGGGGGGAGGAGGGGAGGAGGGGGAGGGAAATAAAGAGAACAGCTGTGTGCCACAGGAACGGGCAGCTTTGCACCGGCTCCTGCCACTGGGAACCTTTCAGAGAGAATCTTACCATGACAGGACCCAGAGGCTTTCTACCCCAGCAGGGTTCCACCAGGTTTTTTTTTTTTCCCAGACAGCTTCAGGCCTCTGCATGGAGGGTACCAGGGGAGGAGTTCCAGTTCTGCTGAGACCCAGGCCCACAAAGGTCACTACTGTCCACAGACACTCTCTCCAAAAGGGCCATGGAAGTGACAACCTCCTGCCTCAGAGCCTCCGGAGCACCAGACCTAGCAGAACCTTGCAGACCAATGCCCTTTCCTCACCTACCTGTCCACCGTCCATCCTTGGAGGCAAGGGCCTAGAGACCTGCAGAACAGAGAGCAAGCAACATCTGCAAACTGAGCAAAGGTGCCTGAGCAAACGCCTCAGCAATTGCCGCAGCGGGAGACCAGCGAGAGCCTCGCCGCCGCTACCGCCGCCTCAATTGTTTGCTCATTAAGACAAGAAAAGCATTTATGTTCTGGGACTCAAGTGTCAACAGACCCAGGGAAATGTCGCCTCAGCTGCTGCCCTGGGCCAGGCCAACAGGACAGCTGGAGTGCAGGGCACAGCTGTCAAGGCGGAGGGTGGGTGTGTGCCCCGTGACCCTGATGTTAAGGACCTGGTGGGGTGGTTCCCAGGCCTCTCCCTCCCACCCCATCTCACCCCGTCACCCATCCCTTCCACACTTTTTCTTCACCTATGGACTCCGATAAGCACAGGAAGACAAGCGTGTTCACCCAGGCACCATGCTTAGGATACCCAGCCATCTCGGGTTTCCCCAGTGAAGAACATTCAATGCTACAATAAGAATGGTCTCACCAGGCACACCTGGACAGCTGGCCCCTCACTGCCCCTGAGTCTCAAGTGCAGGCAAGGGACCTGCCTGAGCCCAGCTGCATCCAGCTGTCCTCTTGCCTACATTTCCTTTATTATAGTATTTATGTATTTATTATGCCAAGTGGGGGGGGGCATGCATCTGCCACAGTGTGCATGCGGGGGTCCAAGCACAACTTAGGGAGTCAGTTGTCTCTTTCCACCACGGAGGCCCTGGATCTGGAACTGAAGTTGTCAGGCTCCGGTGGGAGCACCTTAGCTGCTGAGCCGTCTCACAGCCTCCCTCTTACCTCCTCTGCCTCAACCCCACCCTTGCCCCCTTTGCTTTTGCTGCAAGCATGGGCGGGGATACTGAGGCACAGGACAGAATCACAGGCCAACAGAGAGCGACTACGTCCCCCACCCTCGTTCCATAGAAGGTAAGGACACCGAGTCCAGAAAGACTAATGAGCCTTGACATTTCTCTTACATAAGGCTGCCTCCCCTTTCCCCGGCATGTACAGAATCCATTCTTCCAGGCCCAGAGACGAGTGGATGAAGTGAGGGAAGGCCCCTATCCCCTCAACCTTGTCAGTGCCTCAGCTCTGTTGGCCCTGGCCTCAGAGAGCCCGGCACCCCATTGCTGGCAGGCTCAGCACAGCCCACAAGGAGCCTGTTGGGTGAGCCTGTAATCCCCTCACCTTGGAGGGGCTGCCTTCAGTCAGGGAGCAGAGAGGAAGGAGATAGGAAAGGGATTCAACATTTCCCAGATCAGCCACCAAAGCCTCCCTCCATCTCTACGCCAGTCCCACAGCAACAGGGCAGCCCTGGAGGCTGGGCTTTTCCACGGAGGGAGCAGAGGAAGTGGGATCAAGTTCACAGTCCAAACCCACCATGCCCTTTAAGTGGCCACGAGCAGACTATATTTAGGGCCTGCAGACATTCAGCAGGACCTCGGGTATTCTTCCCTGGGAGCAATCGCTAATCACTGCATTGAGTTTACCGGTGCCCCTGGGCACACTTAACCCAGGGCAATGAATAGTTATTGCGCAGCCTCCCGCTCGGGGCTTGTGGGCACACTTAAGCAAGCTCGCAGATCGCTGCAAGCAGGGCATGGCTCGGGTACACCCTTGGGCACCCTGTGCCATCAGCGGGGAGAGGCAGAGTATTAAATATCTATGTGCCCTGTGCCCGCGGCTGCATTTAGCCAGGGGCAAGGCTAGTGTAACGGCTTTAATTAAAACTTAATGCAAGTTCAAGGTGCAGCCATGGAAGCGGCTGCAGAAGTCACCGGGAATGAATCAGTCAATTTGATGAGGTGATGAGGTCCTATGATGGGTGAGGGAAAAACGGAGGAGGGGGGCTGCTGAGGAGGTGGCAGCTGAGATCCATGAGATCTCTGCGACTCTGCCCAGGGGAACGGGGGTCCTGTAGTCCTGTGGGCTCCACCACCACACTAGGGAAGGATGCTGGGAATCTGGGCAGGTCAAAAGGGACAAAGTTGGCGCTTGGCTGGCCTCTAGCTCTGCTTTCCTCCAGTTTCTGTCCAGTGTTACACACACAGGCAGCCTTGTCCCTCTGGTGGCCACTCCCAAAATTACAGGCCAGCGTAAAGAGAAGTGACCAGCCCCCAGGACTGTCAAAACCATGTCCCACTGTCAAACCCATGACCCATGACCACGCTTGGGGGTGTTTAGGTAGAGGCTTGTGACTCTTAGGAACAATGTAACACCTTCCCTGGCATGACCACATGGGACCTAAACAGCCCTCTGCCTCAGGCACTGCTCTTTAAAATTGAGCAGCAGAGAACTCCAGAGGCAAGAAGATTACGGGGAACAAGCACAGAGCTGGGGTCCCAGCCTCTGCTCAGCTCTCCCTGTCTCAGCACGTTCACGTCAAAGCCCAGGACAGATGAGAATGGAACTGTACACCCTCCCGAGGCAAGACTGCTGTCCTCTCAGATCTGATCATTTGGTACCAGCACAGAGCCTGGCATTCAGCATGTGCTTCGCACGGATGCCCCCCTAAACGGATGGTAACTGTCACTCGTGGGTCTTTCTCTCCAACCTCCCTTCCGATATCTCCTCTCTCTCCTCTCCTCCTTCAGTGAGTCATTGGGCAAAATTGAGCATCCAGGTTTTTGACTGCTGGGGGTTTTTAATTTACTGCGTGGGTGTATGCATGTGTGTACGCAAGTGTCATGTGTGGAGGTCAGAGGACAACTTGCAGAAGTCAGTTCTCTCCTTCCACCATGTGGGTTCCAGGAAAGAATCTCAGGCTTGGTGGCAAGCACCTTTACTCACTTGCTGCCTGGGTCTTACCCTGCAGCCAGGGCTGACTTCAAACTTACAGTCCTCTTGCCTCAACCTCCTTCATGCTGGATTCCAGATGTGCACCATCAAACCCAGCTCTAAATTCAGCATCCCGTTTGGCCACATGGTACTTGCAAAGTTAAAGTTAACATTTTTGGAAGCTGGGGATGTGGACCAGTGGGTCGTGTTCCCTTAGCATGCGTGGAACTGTAGGTTCAATCTCCACTACCACATAAACTAGGTGTGACACTGCATCTATAATCCTAGCACTTGAGAGATGGAAGCAAGAGAATCACAAGCTCAAGGTCATCCCCTGCTACATAGCAAGTTCAAGGCCACCCTGAGATGCATGAGACCCTTGTATCAAAATAAGTAAACAACTGCTCAAAAAAAAAAAAAAAACAAAACAAAACTCTTCACTAAATGAAGTCAACATTTTTCCTTGCAGAGGAGGGAGTCCAGCGCCTCACACACGCTAACCTAGCGCTCTGCCACTGAGCTGCTTTCCCAGCCCAAAGTCAACTTTTTAAAATGTAACTTCACATACAGTGATGGATTTCCTGTTTCTCTTTTAAAAGCTGAAAATTCCAGCAAAGTGAGGCGGAGGCGGAGGGCAGCTCATCAAAGCGGCTCATCACCCCTTTCGGCCGCTACCAGCTACGGGACCCCAGCAACGCCCTTCTGTGCTTACTTGTCTGCTCTGTGGAATGGGGATATAAACAACGCTTCCTGCCTGCTGGGCTGTAAAGGTGCGATGGGCCAACATTGGCAAAGCAGGGGCAGGGGCATGGCTCAGTGGTGGAGAGCTGGCCTGGAATCCATCAGTGAGGGGCTAGCAGCATGGCTCACTGAGAGAGCACTTGTCTGATAGATGCGAAGTCCCCAGTTCCGTCCCTAGCACCAAAATAAATAAATAACAAAGCAGCAGCCAAGGCCATGCCCGGCATAGCAGGGTGAGTGGAAGATAAGCTTTCCTGGGGAAAGGAAGGCTTGAATTCAATTCCCTTCTCCGTCCTGTCTGGGACACTCATTTCTGCTGTGGGTCTGCAGCCTTCCCCTGCTCCCAGCCAACTCTTTCTCTGTTCCAGGGCTGCAGAGAAACTTGAGCTCAAGGATGCCACCAGGCGGTGACACAGCTGGAGTGTGCCTAGGCCTGTGTTCTTTCCAATGGGGACGTTATATGTGAAACACATCACTCCTCAGAGCTGGGGATGGAACCTGGGGCCTTGCAGAGCCTCCAAACCTGATGTCTAGAATTCTTTGATGTGACCTAGGTTAAATAAGAGGACCCATTGCTGCTGAAATTGTTCTGTGGGTAAAGCACTTGCCTCCAAATGGTAAGGATCTGAATGCGGATCCTCAGAACCCACATAAAATCAGATGCCGTGGCTGGAGTCTGTCACCTCGGCATTCCTGTAGCAAGACAGGAGACAGAGCCCGGAGACGCCCCACAAGTCTGACCACGGATAGCCTGGCACACAGAGCTGTAAATGACAGCCCTGTCTCAAACAAAGAAAGGTGAGACCTGACTCCTGAGGGTTCCTCTGACCGCCACTGTCCTGAGACACACAAGAAGCTCATCTCGTGCACATGGAGAGAGAGAGAGAGAGAGAGAGAGAGAGAGAGAGAGAGAGAGAGAGAGAGAGAGAGAGAAGCCATGTAAACGTAAGAGCAGAGGAGCCGAGCAGTGGTGGTGCACGCCTTTAATCCCAGCACTCGGGAGGCAGAAGCAGGTGGATCTCTGTGGGTTCAAGGCCAGCCTGGTCTA